CCCCAAAACCCCAAAACCCCAAAACCCCAAAACCCCTTTTGGTTCGGATAAAACTGAACTATTGTGTAATTTGTTGATTTTTAATCCAAAACATTGGCTGTGTAGTCAATGCCATTGCAATTTCTAGGTATTCTGAACTGAGGGACAAACCAAGTGAGAGGGTTGTCACCCATCACTTCCTTGATGTTCTCCAGAGTGGACTTCGAGTAATTATGAGGTGATAAAAAGCCTTTTATGTACGACATTTCACTGATAATAAGGTTCCTCGCAATGCAGAATCCGATGAAGAAGGTCATCATACTTAAGCTGAAGAAAGTCATTGTACTCAGAGCTGTAGGGATAGCAGTGGCAATAGTGAACTTGTCTTTTGGGAATCTTCCAAAGAATCCATTGTACCAACCAGAAATATAACAAATTGCACCTAGGAGAGCACCAAATGAGGTGTAGAACAGGAAAAGAAAGAAGTTTTTATACGTATTGTATCCAACACAGTTCCCAACCCAAGGACAGTGATGATCGTGTCTCAAAATTCATCTAGTTCAGAGATGTCAATGTTGAGCTCTAGGTGGCTGAATGTTATCTCAATCATGGCAATAATTGAACCTAGTCATCCTTTCCTTCGTTGAGACTCTCTTTCTGTTCTTCTTACTCTTCTTTGATTTATCCTGAGCCTCTGTACTTTCATCACTTCCATCTGTCTTAATAAGGTCTTGAGATTCCAGATCTGCGCTGTTATCTTGAGACTCTAAATCAGCAGTCTTGGTTCTCTTTGAAGCGGTCATTTCATTCATCTGGTGTAAACCTCCCATTTCTTGATCTAAAATGATCAATTTTTATAGACTTACTTGATTCAGCTTTAACTCTTTGATAAAGTTCTGGTCTTAAGTCCTTAAGATTTTTTGGTACGAAGCCAGGATCATTGCAAAAAATTGTGATCAATGACCACATTCACATTGTATAAATAAAGATCTGCATTCATGAAAGGACAATTGCCAATCTCTTGGAATACTGGGTATAGTAGTTACTAACTACAAAGACATGGAATGCAACGGTCATCCCAGTCAGTAAGGCGATGTTCATGACAGCAGGGAACTTCAGGAAGATCCTGAGCAATTTATCATGCTTGAGTCTTTCTTCCATTTTTGTTTTAATAATTCAATTATATCAGAAAGGACTGGGGTTTTGGGGTTTTGGGGTTTTGGGGGTTTGGGG